GCTCTGGGGCGTCCGGGGAGAGCATCGCGACGCTCTGGGGCGTCCGGGGAGAGCATCCCGACGCTCTGGGGCGTCCGGGGAGAGCATCGTGACGCTCTGGGGCGTCCCGGGAGAGCATCGCGACGCTTTGGGGCGTCCGGGGAAAGCATCGCGACGCTCTGGGGCGTCCGGGGAGAGCATCACGATGCTCCGGGGCGTCCGGGGAGAGCATCGCGATGCTCCGGGGCGGCTGGGGAGAGCATTGGAACGCTCTGCGGCGTCCGGGGAGAGCATCGCGACGCTCTGGGCCGTCCGGGGAGAGCATCGCGACGCTCTGGGGCGTCCGGGGAGAGCATCGCGACGCTCTGGGGCGTCCGGGGAGAGCATCGCGACGCTCTGGGGCGTCCGGGGAGAGCATCGCGACGCTCTGGGGCGTCCGGGGAGAGCATTGCGATGCTCTGGGGCGTCCGGGGAGAGCATCGCGACGCTCTGGGGTGTCCGAGGAGAGCATCGCGATGCTCCGGGGTGGCTGGGGAGAGCATCGCGATGCTCTGGGGCGTCCGGGGGGAGAATGGCGACGCTCTGGGGCGTCCGGGGAGAGCATCGCGACGCTCTGGGGTGTCCGAGGAGAGCATCGCGATGCTCCGGGGTGGCTGGGGAGAGCATCGCGATGCTCTGGGGCGTCCGGGGGGAGAATGGCGACGCTCTGGGGCTTCCGGGGAGAGCATCGCGATGCTTTGGGGCGTACGGGGAAAGCATCGGGACACTCTGGGGCGTCCGGGGAGAGCATCGCGACGCTCTGAGACGTCCGGGGAGAGCATCGCGACGCTCTGGGGCGGGGAGAGCATCGCGACGCTCTGAGGCGTCCGGGGAGAGCATCGCGATGCTCTGGGGCGTCCAGGGAGAGCATCGCGACGCTCTGGGGCGGCTGGGGAGAGCATCGCGACGCTCTGGGGCGTCCGGGAAGAGCATCGCGACGCTCTAGGGCGTCCGGGGAGAGCATCGTGGTGCTCAGGGGCGTCCGAGGAGAGCATCGCGACGCTCTGAGGCGGCTGGGGAGAGCATCGCGACGCTCTGGGGCGTCCGGGGAGAGCATCGCGATGCTCAGGGGCGTCCTAGGAGAGCATCGCGACGCTCTGGGGCGTCCGGGGAGAGCATCGCGACGCTCTGGGGCGTCCGGGGAGAGCATCACGATGCTCCGGGGCGGCTGGGGAGAGCATCGCGATGCTCTGGGGCGTCCGGGGAGAGCATCGCGATGCTCTGGGGCATCCGGGGAGAGCATTGCGACGCTCTGGGGCGTCCAGGGAGAGCATCGCGACGCTCTGGGGCGTCCAGGGAGAGCATAGCGTCAGGGGAGAGCATCGCGATGCTTTGGGGCGTACGGGGAGAGCATTGCGACGCTCTGGGGCGGCTGGGGAGAGCATCACGACGCTCTGGGGCGTCCGGGGAGAGCATCGCGACGCTCTGGGGCGTCTGGGGAGAGCATCGTGATGCTCTGAGGCGTCCGAGGAGAGCATCGCGACGCTCTGGGGCGTCCGGGGAGAGCATCGCGACGCTCTGGGGCGTCCGGCGAGAGCATCGCGATGCTCCGGGGCGGCTGGGAAGAGCATCGCGATGCTCTGGGGCGTCCGGGGAGATCATCGCGACACTCTGGGGCGTCCGGGGAGAGCATCGCGACGCTTTGGGGCGTCCGGGGAGAGCATCGCGACGCTCTGGGGCGTCCGTGGAGAGCATCGCGACGCTCTGGGGCGTCCAGGGAGAGCATCGCGATGCTCCGGGGCGGCTGGGGAGAGCATCGCGATGCTCTGGGGCGTCCGGGGAGAGCATTGCGACGCTCTGGGGCGTCCGGGGAGAGCATCGCGATGCTCGGGGGCGTCCGGGGAGAGCATCGCGACGCTCTGGGGCGTCCGGGGAGAGCATCGCGACGCGTTGGGGCGTCCGGGGAGGGCATCGCGACGCTCTGGGGCGGCTGGGGAGAGCATTGCGACGCTCTGGGGCGTCCGGGGAGAGCATCGCGACGCTCTGGGGCGTCCGGGGAGGGCATCGCGATGCTCTGGGGCGTCCAGGGAGAGCATCACGACGCTCTGGGGCGTTCGGGGAGAGCATCGTGATGCTCCGGGGCGGCTGGGGAGAGCATTGCGATGCTCTGGGGCGTCCGGGGAGAGCATCGCGACGCTCTGGGGCGTCCGGGGAGAGCATCGCGACGCTCTCGGGCGTCCGGGGAGAGCATTGCGACGCTCTGGGGCGTCCGGGGAGAGCATCGCGACGCTCTGGGGCGTCCGGGGAGAGCATCGCGACGCTCTGGGGCGTCCGGGGAGAGCATCGCGACGCTCTGGGGCGTCCGGGGAGAGCATCGCGATGCTCCAGGGCGGCTGGGGAGAGCATCGCGATGCTCTGGGGCGTCCGGGGAGAGCATAGCGACGCTCTGGGCCGTCCGGGGAGAGCATCGCGACGCTCTGGGGCGTCCGGGAAGAGCATCGCGACGCTCTGGGGCGTCCGGGGAGAGCATCGCGACGCACTGGGGCGTTCGGATAGAGCATCGCAACGCTCTGGGGCGTCCGGGGACAGCATCGCGACGCTCTGGGGCGTCCGGGGAGAGCATCGCGACGCTCTGGGGCGTCCGGGGAGAGCATCGCGACGCTCTTAGGCGGCTGGGGAGAGCATCGCGACGCTCTGGGGCGTCCGGGGAGAGCATCGCAACGCTCTAGGGCGTCCGGGGAGAGCATTGCGATGCTCCGGGGCGGCTGGGGAGAGCATCGTGATGCTCTGGGGCGTCCGGAGAGAGCATCGCGACGCTCTGGGGCGTCCGGGGAGAGCATCGCGACGCTCTAGGGCGTCCGGGGAGAGCATCGCGACGCTCTGGGGCGTCCGGGGAGAGCATCGCAACGCTCTGGGGCGTCCGGAGAGAGCATCGCGATGCTCTAGGGCGTCCGGGGAGAGCATCGCGATGCACTGGGGCGTCCGGGGAGAGCATCGCGACGCTCTGGGGCGTCCGGGGAGAGCATCGCGATGCTCCGGGGCGGCAGGAGAGAGCATCGCGATGCTCTGGGGCGTCCAGGGAGAGCATCGCGATGCTCTGGGGCGTCCGGGGAGAGCATCGCGATGCTCCGGGGCGGCTGGGGAGAGCATTGGATGCTCTGGGGCGTCCGGGGAGAGCATCGCGATGCTCTAGGGCGTCCGGGGAGAGCATCGCGACGCTCTTGGGCGTCCGGGGAGAGCATCGCGATGCTCTGGGGTGTCCGGGGAGAGCATCGCGACGCTCTGGGACGTCCGGGGAGAGCATCGCGATGCTCCGGGGCGGCTGGGGAGAGCATCGCGATGCTCTGGGGCGTCCGGGGGGAGCATCACGACGCTCTGGGGCGTCCGAGGAGAGCATCGTGACGCTCTGGGGCGTCCGGGGAGAGCATTGCGACGCTCTGGGGCGTCCGGGGAGAGCATCGCGACGCTCTGGGGCGTCCGGGGAGAGCATCGCGACGCTCTGGGGCGTCCGAGGAGAGCATCGCGACGCTCTGGGGCGTCCAGGGAGAGCATCACGACGCTCTGGGGCGTCCGGAGAGAGCATCGCGATGCTCTGGGGCGGCTGGGGAGAGCATCGCGATGCTCCGGGGCGTCCGGGGAGAGCATTGCGACGCTCTGGGGCGTCCGGGGAAAGCATCACGACGCTCTGGGGCGTCCCGGGACAGCATCGCGATGCTCTGGGGCGTCCAGGGAGAGCATTGCGACGCTCTGGGGCGTCCGGGGAGAGCATCGCGATGCTCTGGGGTGTCCGGGGAGAGCATCGCGACGCTCTGTGACGTCCGGGGAGAGCATCGCGATGCTCCGGGGAGGCTGGGGAGAGCATCGCGATGCTCTGGGGCGTCCGGGGGGAGCATCACGACGCTCTGGGGCGTCCGGGGAGAGCATCGTGACGCTCTGGGGCGTCCGGGGAGAGCATTGCGACGCTCTGGGGCGTCCGGGGAGAGCATCGCGACGCTCTGGGGCGTCCGGGGAGAGCATCGGGGCGCTCTGGGGCGTCCGGGGAGAGCATCACGATGCTCTGGGGCGTCCGGGGAGAGCATCGCGACGCTCTGGGGCGTCCGGGGAGAGCATCGCGATGCTCTGGGCCGTCCGGGGAGAGCATCGCGACGCTCTGGGGCGTCCGAGGAGAGCATCGCGACGCTCTGGGGCGTCCGAGGAGAGCATCGCGACGCTCTGGGGCGGGAGGGGAGAGCATCGCGACGCTCTGGGGCGTCCGGGGAGAGCATCGCGATGCTCCGGGGCGGCAAGGGAGAGCATCGCGATGCTCTGGGGCGTCCGGAGAGAGCATCGCGATGCTGTGCGGCGTCCGGGGAGAGCATCACGACGCTCTGGGGCGTCTGGAGAGAGCATCGCGATGCTCCGGGGCGGCTGTGGAGAGCATCACGATGCTCTGGGGCGTCCGGGGAGAGCATCGCGACGCTCTGGGGCGTCCGGGGAGAGCATCGTGACGCTCTGTGGCGTCCGAGGAGAGCATTGCGACGCTCTGGGTCGGCTGGGGAGTGCATCGCGACGCTCTGGGGCGTCCGGGGAGAGCATGGCGACGCTCTGGGGCGTCCGAGGAGAGCATCGCGATGCTCTGGGGCGTCCGGGGAGAGCATCGCGACGCTCTGGGGCGTCCGGGGAGAGCATCGCGACGCTCTGGGGCGTCCGGGGAGAGCATCGCGACGCTCTGGGGCAGCGGGGAGAGCATCGCGACGCTCTGGGGCGTCCCGAGAGAGCATCACGACGCTCTGGGGCGTCCGGGGAGAGCATCGCGATGCTCTGGGGCGTCCGAGGAGAGCATCGCGATGCTCTGGGGCGTCCGGGGAGAGCATCGCGATGCTCCGGGGCGGCTGGGGAGAGCATTGGATGCTCTGGGGCGTCCGGGGAGAGCATCGCGATGCTCTAGGGCGTCCGGGGAGAGCATCGCGACGCTCTTGGGCGTCCGGGGAGAGCATCGCGATGCTCTGGGGTGTCCGGGGAGAGCATCGCGACGCTCTGGGACGTCCGGGGAGAGCATCGCGATGCTCCGGGGCGGCTGGGGAGAGCATCGCGATGCTCTGGGGCGTCTGGGGGGAGCATCACGACGCTCTGGGGCGTCCGGGGAGAGCATCGTGACGCTCTGGGGCGTCCGGGGAGAGCATTGCGACGCTCTGGGGCGTCCGGGGAGAGCATCGCGACGCTCTGGGGCGTCCGAGGAGAGCATCGCGACGCTCTGGGGCGTCCGAGGAGAGCATCGCGACGCTCTGGGGCGTCCAGGGAGAGCATCACGACGCTCTGGGGCGTCCGGAGAGAGCATCGCGATGCTCTGGGGCGGCTGGGGAGAGCATCGCGATGCTCCGGGGCGTCCGGGGAGAGCATTGCGACGCTCTGGGGCGTCCGGGGAAAGCATCACGACGCTCTGGGGCGTCCCGGGACAGCATCGCGTCGCTCTGGGGCGTCCGGGGAGAGCATCGCGACGCTCTGGGTCGTCCGGGGAGAGCATCGCGACGCTCTGGGGCGGAGGGGAGAGCATCGCGACGCTCTGGGGCGTTCGGGGAGAGCATCATGACGCTCTGGGGCGTCCGGGGAGAGCATCACGACGCTCTGGGGCGTCCGGGGAGAGCATCGCGATGCTCTGGGGCGTCCGGGGAGAGCATCACGACGCTCTGGGGCGTCCGGGGAGAGCATCGCGATGCTCCGGGGCGGCTGGGGAGAGCATTGGATGCTCTGGGGCGTCCGGGAGAGCATCGCGACGCTCTGGGGCGTCCGGGGAGAGCATCGCGACGCTCTAGGGCGTCCGGGGAGAGCATCGCGACGCTCTGGGGCGTCCGGGGAGAGCATTGCGACGCTCTAGGGCGTCCGGGGAGAGCATCGCGACGCTCTAGGGCGGCTGGGGAGAGCATCGCGATGCTCTGGGGCGTCCAGGGAGAGCATTGCGACGCTCTGGGGCGTCCGGGGAGAGCATCGCGATGCTCTGGGGTGTCCGGGGAGAGCATCGCGACGCTCTGTGACGTCCGGGGAGAGCATCGCGATGCTCCGGGGCGGCTGGGGAGAGCATCGCGATGCTCTGGGGCGTCCGGGGGGAGCATCACGACGCTCTGGGGCGTCCGGGGAGAGCATCGTGACGCTCTGGGGCGTCCGGGGAGAGCATTGCGACGCTCAGGGGCGTCCGGGGAGAGCATCACGACGCTCTGGGGCGTCCGGGGAGAGCATCGGGGCGCTCTGGGGCGTCCGGGGAGAGCATCACGATGCTCTGGGGCGTCCGGGGAGAGCATCGCGACGCTCTGGGGCGTCCGGGGAGAGCATCGCGACGCTCTGGGGCGTCCGGGGAGAGCATCGCGACGCTCTGGGGCGTCCGAGGAGAGCATCGCGACGCTCTGGGGCGTCCGGGGAGAGCATCGCGACGCTCTGGGGCGGGAGGGGAGAGCATCGCGACGCTCTGGGGCGTCCGGGGAGAGCATCGCGATGCTCCGGGGCGGCTAGGGAGAGCATCGCGATGCTCTGGGGCGTCCGGAGAGAGCATCGCGATGCTGTGCGGCGTCCGGGGAGAGCATCACGACGCTCTGGGGCGTCTGGAGAGAGCATCGCGATGCTCCGGGGCGGCTGTGGAGAGCATCACGATGCTCTGGGGCGTCCGGGGAGAGCATCGCGACGCTCTGGGGCGTCCGGGGAGAGCATCGTGACGCTCTGTGGCGTCCGAGGAGAGCATTGCGACGCTCTGGGTCGGCTGGGGAGTGCATCGCGACGCTCTGGGGCGTCCGGGGAGAGCATGGCGACGCTCTGGGGCGTCCGGGGAGAGCATCGCGATGCTCTGGGGCGTCCGGGGAGAGCATCGCGACGCTCTGGGGCGTCCGGGGAGAGCATCGCGACGCTCTGGGGCGTCCGGGGAGAGCATCGCGACGCTCTGGGGCAGCGGGGAGAGCATCGCGACGCTCTGGGGCGTCCCGAGAGAGCATCACGACGCTCTGGGGCGTCCGGGGAGAGCATCGTGATGCTCTGGGGCGTCCGAGGAGAGCATCGCGATGCTCTGGGGCGTCCGGGGAGAGCATCGCGATGCTCCGGGGCGGCTGGGGAGAGCATTGGATGCTCTGGGGCGTCCGGGGAGAGCATCGCGATGCTCTGGGGCGTCCGGGGAGAGCATCGCGACGCTCTTGGGCGTCCGGGGAGAGCATCACGACGCTCTGGGGCGTCCGGAGAGAGCATCGCGACGCTCTGGGGCGGCTGGGGAGAGCATCACGATGCTCTTGGGCGTCCGGGGAGAGCATCGCGACGCTCTGGGGCGTCCGGGGAGAGCATCGCGACGCTCTGGGGTGTCCCGGGAGAGCATCGCGACGCTCTGGGGCGTCCGGGGAGAGCATCGCGACGCTCTGGGGCGTCCGGGGAGAGCATCGCGACGCTCTGGGGCGGCGGGGAGAGCATCGCGACGCTCTGGGGCGTCCGGGGAGAGCATCACGACGCTCTGGGGTGTCCGGGGAGAGCATCGCGATGCTCCGGGGCGGCTGGGGAGAGCATTGGATGCTCTGGGGCGTCCGGGGAGAGCATCACGATGCTCTAGGGCGTCCGGGGAGAGCATCGCGACGCTCTGGGGCGTCCGGGGAGAGCATCGCGATGCTCTGGGGCGTCCGGGGAGAGCATTGCGACGCTCTGGGTCGTCCGGGGAGAGCATCGCTGTTATAATCACAATAGGCTTCAATGTGCCTAGAACGAAAGATAGGGTGCACAGTCGGATTTCCGCACAGCGGCTTTAAACGTTCATAGCGATCTGGTCACGGCTCCAAATGACCTCATTCAACTTGGATCTAGAGCGTCTTAACGTCTCCTACAATAGGCAATTTATATCGCACGCTTTCATCAAGAATTGATGACACAGCGTCAGATTGAACGAACGGCACTATGGCAGGAACATAGTCTTAGAAGACACAATTACGAACAGCTAGGAAGAGTTGCGAGTTGGGAAGGACTCCCAGCTCCTACAAACCCCAAGAGCCGAGGTACAGTGATGGGGAACAGTGCCACACTGTCCCCAACCAAGAAGGGTCTCGAAACTACCCTTCACAAGGGCCTACACCAACTGAAATGTTACACTACACTTTGTAATGTAACTATCTTCAATCTCTTGAGGTGTAGCCTTTTGGCGAGCTTCGAAAACACTTGAAGCTTGAACCAAGGCTCGGGTTCTTCATCACAAAACTCATCCTTGAGTTCTTGATGGGTCTGCTGCACACACCTGCGACACGCCGAACGTTCGACACAGGACAAAATGGAAACCACGCACGGGACACACGACAAAATAGAAACCGCGCGCGAGACACAAATGACCGCATTAACACGCGGCTAGCGATAACTCGCTATTGACTCGACACACACACTCGACATCATGACCCATCATACACACACCATTATGAGCATGAAATATATATTAATTTCATGCACTCATACCACACCATGCACACACGCATGCACGCACACGCAGACTCAACAAGCCGAGTGCAAACCGTAGGGTTGCACCAACAATCGCGACGCTCTGGGGCGGCTGGGGAGAGCATCGCGACGCTCTGGGAGGTCCGGGGAGAGCATCGCGACGCTCTGGGGCGTCCGGGGAGAGCATCGCGATTCTCTGGGGCGTCCGGGGAGAGCATCGCGACGCTCTGGGCCGTCCGGGGAGAGCATCGCGGCGCTCTGGGGCGTCCGGGGAGAGCATCGCGACGCTCTGGGGCGGCTGGGAAGAGCATCGCGACGCTCTGGGGCGTCCGGGGAGAGCATCGCGACCCCCTGGGGCGGCCGGGGAGAGCATCGCGATGCTCTGGGGCGTCCAGGGAGAGCATCGTGATGCTCTGGGGCGTCCGAGGAGAGCATCGCGATGCTCCGGGGCGGCTGGGGAGAGCACCGCGATGCTTTGGGGCGTCCGAGGAGAGCATCGCGATGCTCCGGGGCGGCTGGGGAGAGCATCGCGATGCTCTGGGGCGTCCGGGGGGAGCATCGCGACGCTCTGGGGCGTCCGGGGAGAGCATCGCGACGCTCTGGGGCGTCAGGGAAGAGCATCGCAACGCTCTGGGGCGTCCGGGGAGAGCATCGCGACGCTCTGGGGCGTCCGGGGAGAGCATCGCTGTTGGTGCAACCCTACGGTTTGCACTCGGCTTGTTGTCCGTGTGCGTGAATGTGTGTGTGTATGGAATGGTATGAGGGCATGGGATAATATATATTTCATGCTTATAATTGTGTGTGAATGTTGAGTCATGATGTCGAGTGTGTGTGTCGAGTCAATAGCGAGTTATCGCTAGACGCGTGTTACGCGGTCGTTTGTGTCTCGCGCGCGGTTTCTATTTTGTCGTGCGCAGTTTCTATTTTGTCCTGTGTCGAACGTTCGGCGTGTCGCAGGTGTGTGCAGCAGACCCATCAAGAACTCAAGGATGAGTTTGTGATGAAGAGCCCGAGCCTTGGTGTCAAGCCTCAAGTGATTTCGAAGCTCGCCAAAAAGGGTACACCTCAAGATATTGAAGATATTTACATTACTTTGTGTAGTGTAACATTTCACTTGGTGTAGGCCCTAGTGAAGGGTAGTTTCGAGACCCTTCGTGGTTGGGGACAGTGTGGCACTGTTCCACATCACTGTACCTCGGCTCTTGGGGTTTGTAGGAGCTGGGAGTCATTCCCAACTCGTAACTCTTCCTATCTTGTGTTCTAAGTCTATAGTGGCTGCCATAGTACCGTTCGTTCAAACCGACGCTGTGTCGTCAATTCTTTATCAAATCGTGCAATCTAAATTGCTAATTGTAGACGACGTGAAGACGCTCCAGATCCAATTTGAATCAGGTCATTTGCAGCTGTGAGCAGAACGCTATCAACGTTTGAAGCCGCTGTGCAGAAATCCGTCTGTGCTCTCTATCTTTCGTTTTAGGCACATTCAAGCCTATTGTGACTATAACAAGTGGTATCAGAGCCCCTTGGAGCAGTTTCGACAATGTCTGGACCTGAGGAAAGGGGTGGCAGAGGTGCTGGTGGCAGTGGAGAAGCTCAAGCTCAAGGCCAACCCCGTGATTCAGCCATGGCGCCCATGCAACCAAGTCTTGGCCCACCTAGGGATGAGCCTAGGGTGTTTGGGCTTGACAAGTTCAACGGTGACAACTTTTCTGAATGGTCCTTCAAGATGGAGAACATCTTTGACCACTATGACCTGCTGGAGGTGATGGAAGGAACGGAGAAGCGCCCCGAGAACGACCCGGAGAAGAGCCCGTGGGTGCGGAAAAGCGCACAAGGCTATCTCTTACTTGGGCAAGCGTTGGGGAGCAGTCAGATCCGTCACATCAAGCCATTCCAGCGTGAACCAGAGAAAGGACCAAAGGCATGGGCTGCTCTCAAGGGTGTACATGCTCCTGCAACAGCGGCGGTAGCGGTGGTGTTGGAACTACAAATGGCGGCACTACGAATTGAAGAAGACGAAGCGGTTGAAGAAGGGGTGCAGAAATTCTTCGACTTGTTGACGCGGCTTGAGGGAGCTGATTTGAACTACAGTGAGCTCCAAAAGAAGACCAAGTTGCTGGCCTTACTCCCAGAGTCATGGTCCTCGCTCATCATCAACCTTAATCGCGACTTGCCCCGCCTCTCGCTTGAAGACGTGAAGCGAGCTATCCTTCAAGAGGATTTCCGCCGCCGTGAGTTGGCGAGTGCGGATGGCGCTGGGGCAGCGAGCATCGGCCGTGGATATGGTCGAGGAAGAGGCAGAGGACGAGGGGGAGGAAGGTTTGGTGGCAGCAACTTCGGCGGAGGCCGCAGGAGTGGTGGTTACGGCAGCGACGACAAGAGCTACGGACGCGGTCGCGGCCGATTCGACGGCGAGTGTCACTATTGCCACAAGAGCGGACACATGTGGCGCGACTGCTACAAACTCCCTGATGGTTGGACCCCTGCTCAAGGCCAAGAGGGTAGAGGAGCAGGAGGAGGGAGAGGACGAGGCCGTGGAGGCCGTGGCGGTCGCGGTGGCGGAGCTGCAAACATGAAGAGCGGAGACAACGACAAGGACCCGAGCGACGATCGATACCCGGGTCTATTCTACTTCGTGTCGACGCAAGTACCGGCTGGTCCAGAGAAGGATGAAGGCTTTGAGGAGCCAGCAGCTGTGGGGAAGGTGACCCTACACCCCCTGGACTATTGGGTGATTGATAGTGGCGCTACCTATAGCATGACACCTCGCCCGGACTTGCTCACCGAACTCGAGCCGTCACCGGTGAAGCATGTCACATCGGCTTTGGGGCAGCGAGCAGAGGTGAAAGGCATGGGCAAGGCCATGTTCAAGGGTGCTGATGGGAAGATGGTGGGCCTCAAGAACGTGCTTTGGGTGCCCAGCCTTGCTGCAAACCTGATTTCCGTGCGGCGGTTGGCAAAGGCCGGCATGGACACGAACTCGAAGGGAGCCAAGACCTACACCGCAAGGCTTGGCGATCGAATTCTTTGGGACCTTCATGAGGACAGGGATGTCTACAACGAGATGTGGCAGATCCCAGTGGTCCCTATGCCTAAGGAGAGGCAAGTGGCAGCAAGCATCAGCACCAAGGATGGAGCGGTCGGTAGCGATGATGGCGCGAACGGTCGCGCTAAGGAGAATGAGCTCAAGAAGAGCAAACCTGGAGGGACCAGCAAGTTCAGTGAACCTAAGGAGAGTGGTGCAGCAACCAAGGAGCAGCAAAAGGGTGAGGAGAACCCAGAGGCAGCAGCGGAGGAGGACTACGGAGAGAGTATGTGGGGCGCTATTGCGAGCGCGGCATTCTCCAATCCAACTTCGGCTACGGGGGAGTGTGATTGGCTCACCTTGCATCGGCGCATGGGGCATGTGGCCCTGCCCATCTTGCAGCAGCTAGTGAAGAATGAGATGGTTGCTGGCATACGTGTGAAGGGGGAGCCCGATGAGGTGCTTGGCTGCCCGACGTGCATTCAAGCCAAGTTCACCCGGTTTCCGTTCCCTAGTTCGGAGGCAACGGCAAAGGCACCGCTTGATGAGGTGGTGATGGACGTGGTGGGCCCCCTGAAGCTTGGAGCTGCTGGAGCCGAGTATTTTCTCACCATTGTCGACGTCTACACCCGCATGACTTGGGTGTACGTGCTGGCCAAGAAGAGCGACGTGGCTGAAACGTTGAAGACGGATTGGTTCCCGATGGTGGAGCGGCAACAAGACCGTCTAGTCAAGTCAATCCGCACCGATCGAGGGGGAGAGTTCCTGAGCAAGGAGTTTGGGTTGTGGCTGAAGAAGAATGGTATTCGGCACTCCCTCACCATGCCATACTCCCCTGCAATGAACGGCATCGCCGAGCGAGCGAACCGCACAATCACGGAGGCGGCACGCGGGTTGCTCATTGAAGCCGGGCTACCCGACTATTTCTGGCCTGATGCGGTGCGGAGCGCGTGTGTGGCCAAGAACAGAGCCTTGACTCATGTGGGAGCAGACAAATGGGTGCCCTATGTGGAGTGGCTAGGAAGGAAGCCAAAGGTGGATATGCTTCGGGTGTTCGGGTGCATGTGCATGGCGCTCGTGCCTAAGCATCTTCGGCACAACAAGCTTGGTGCCAAGGCGGTGTGGGCCGTGCACTTGGGCATGGCTCAAAACAGCAAGGGATGGCTTCTTTGGGACCCATTCACCAAGAAGTTCTTGGTGAGCAGGGACTGCAAGTTCATGGAGAACTTCATGTACAAGGATTGGAAGGCGGAGAATGAGGCGAAGATAGGCGTGCGGTTTGGGGAGGTGAAGAGTTCCGGTTTGGAGCATGTGGAGCTGCCTTTGGAGCTGAGCAGCGGCAGCACAACCACAAGGCAATCCTCCCTTGTGAATGGGGGAGAGGAGGCCAATGATGCAGAGGAAGAAGAGGAGGAGGTGCAGCAAGTGAGCGAGCGTACTACGAGTGCTCCACGGATTCGAGCCACACCGCAGCAACGCCAAGGCCTTCAAGTCCCTGCAGCTGAGGAGGAAGGAAGGGGGAAGAGGAGAGTTCAACCCCCTAATAGGCTGACCTATGATGCGCCGGGAAAGCAGGGCAAGACAGCCCTGGCCGGAGCGGCAATGATGGTCGGAGACGACGAGGAGAGTGACTACGAGGAGTGTGCCTTCGCGTTCTTCTCTCCGGTGGAGATGCCGGGAGAACCAGCAACTCTCAAGGAGGCTTTGGAGAGTAGTGATGCTGAGGAGTGGAAGAAGGCCATGGAGAGTGAGCTGAAGAGCATCGAGGAGAATGACACGTTTGAATTGGTGGAGCTACCGGAGGGGCGTACGGCGATAACGTCCAAGTGGCTCTTCAAAATCAAGTCGGATGCCGACGGCAAGATCGAGCGCTACAAGTCTAGGCTTGTAGCCAAGGGGTACCAGCAGAAGGAGAAGGTGGACTTCAAGGAGCTGTTTGCCCCTGTGGTGAAGCCGACGACGCTGCGAACCCTATTCGCGGGAGCCGCCATCAAAGGATGGGTAGTAAAGCAAATGGACATCGTAACGGCATTCCTTAACGGCATCCTTGAGGAGGAGATTTTTATGGCGCAGCCAGAGGGGTTTGATGATGGTAGTGGCAGAGTGTGGAAGCTGAAGAAGGCCCTCTATGGGCTGAAGCAGGCCCCTAGGCAATGGTACATGAAGCTGCGCGAAGTGTTGGAGGGGATCGGCTTCACTCCCTCAACGGCCGATCACTCCTTGTTCATGCTTGGCGAGGGGGAGCAGAGGAGTTTCATGGTGGTTTATGTGGATGACATCCTCATTTTCTCACCCTCTTCTGACCTTGTGAAGGAGGTGATGCTGAAGCTTCAAGACAAGTTCAAGTGCAAGGCCCTTGGTGACGTGAGCTTCTACCTTGGGCTCCACATCGAACGAGATGTGGAGAAGCGGTGCATGCGGGTGCATCAACGAAAGTACCTGGAGGCATTGGCTGCCAACTTTGGGCAGAGTGAAGGCCATGTGGCTACACCCTTTCCCTCTGGGTTCAAGTGTGTGAAGGGACCAGAGGAGGAGAGCGTTGGTGAAGAGGAGAGGCGCCGATTTCACTCGTTGGTGGGCAGCCTCATGTATGCGGCGGTAAACACCCGACCGGACGTCGCGTTTGCTACCGGGCAGCTGGCTAGGGTTGTGCAATGCCCTAATGAGGAGCAGGTAGCAGCTGGAATGAGGGTGGCCAAGTATCTTGGCCAAACACCGACCGTTGGGCTGCAATACTCGGCGGCGGCACAAAGGCGCCAAAAGGGCGCGGATGGTGTTGAACCCGGGCGTTTGTTCCTCACCGCCTACTCGGATGCTTCATATGCATCAGAACCAGAGGACATGACAAGTGTGGGAGGCTTCATATGCTGTGTTGGTGGAGGCCCAACTGCTTGGGAGAGCAAGAAGCAGGTTGACCAAGCTTTGAGCTCGGTGGAGTCTGAGTACATGGCACTCTTCCGTGCCGTACGGGAGATTGTGTGGCAGCGGCGTTTGTTGGCTGAATTGGGGGAGGAGCAGCAAGGACCTACCCCACTGTACTGTGACAGCCAGGGTGCCATTGCTCTTGCTAAGAACCCTGTGTTGCATGGACTCACGAAGCACATGAGGGTGAAGTGGCATTGGACGAGGAGCATGGTAACCGCGGGTGAAGTTGAGTTGCGCTACGTGAAGACCACGGGGCAGCCGGCTGACATGATGACCAAGAGGCTGGTGGAGCAGCAGCATTGGAAGTGTTGCAAGCTGGCTGGGATGGCTCTGAACTGAGAGAGCAACATATCCTAAGGCCAACAATCCGAGGGGGAGTTTGTTGGTGCAACCCTACGGTTTGCACTCGGCTTGTTGTCCGTGTGCGTGAATGTGTGTGTGTATGGAATGGTATGAGGGCATGGGATAATATATATTTCATGCTTATAATTGTGTGTGAATGTTGAGTCATGATGTCGAGTGTGTGTGTCGAGTCAATAGCGAGTTATCGCTAGACGCGTGTTACGCGGTCGTTTGTGTCTCGCACGCGGTTTCTATTTTGTCGTGCGCAGTTTCTATTTTGTCCTGTGTCGAACGTTCGGCGTGTCGCAGGTGTGTGCAGCAGACCCATCAAGAACTCAAGGATGAGTTTGTGATGAAGAGCCCGAGCCTTGGTGTCAAGCCTCAAGTGATTTCGAAGCTCGCCAAAAAGGGTACACCTCAAGATATTGAAGATATTTACATTACTTTGTGTAGTGTAACATTTCACTTGGTGTAGGCCCTAGTGAAGGGTAGTTTCGAGACCCTTCGTGGTTGGGGACAGTGTGGCACTGTTCCACATCACTGTACCTCGGCTCTTGGGGTTTGTAGGAGCTGGGAGTCATTCCCAACTCGTAACTCTTCCTATCTTGTGTTCTAAGACTATAGTGGCTGCCATAGTACCGTTCGTTCAAACCAACGCTGTGTCGTCAATTCTTTATCCAATCGTGCAATCTAAATTGCTAATTGTAGACGACGTGAAGACGCTCCAGATCCAATTTGAATCAGGTCATTTGCAGCTGTGAGCAGAACGCTATCAACGTTTGAAGCCGCTGTGCAGAAATCCGTCTGTGCTCTCTATCTTTCGTTTTAGGCACATTCAAGCCTATTGTGACTATAACAATCGCGACGCTCTGGGGCGTCCGGGGAGAGCATCGCGACGCTCTGGGGCGTCCGGGGAGAGCATCGCGACGCTCTGGGGCGTCCGGGGAGAGCATCGTGACGCTCTGGGGCGTCCGGGGAGAGCATCGCGACGCTTTGGGGCGTCCGGGGAGAGCATCGCGACGCTCTGGGGCGTCCGGGGAGAGCATCACGATGCTCCGGGGCGTCCGGGGAGAGCATCGCGATGCTCCGGGGCGGCTGGGGAGAGCATTGGAACGCTCTGGGGCGTTCGGGGAGAGCATCGCGACGCTCTGGGCCGTCCGGGGAGAGCATCGCGACGCTCTGGGGCGTCCGGGGAGAGCATCGCGACGCTGTGGGGCGTCCGGGGAGAGCATCGCGACGCTCTGGGGCGTCCGGGGAGAGCATCGCGACGCTCTGGGGCGTCCGGGGAGAGCATTGCGATGCTCTGGGGCGTCCGGGGAGAGCATCGCGACGCTCTGGGGTGTCCGAGGAGAGCATCGCGATGCTCCGGGGTGGCTGGGGAGAGCATCGCGATGCTCTGGGGCGTCCGGGGGGAGAATGGCGACGCTCTGGGGCGTCCGGGGAGAGCATCGCGACGCTCTGGGGTGTCCGAGGAGAGCATCGCGATGCTCCGGGGTGGCTGGGGAGAGCATCGCGATGCTCTGGGGCGTCCGGGGGGAGAATGGCGACGCTCTGGGGCTTCCGGGGAGAGCATCGCGATGCTTTGGGGCGTACGGGGAAAGCATCGGGACACTCTGGGGCGTCCGGGGAGAGCATCGCGACGCTCTGAGACGTCCGGGGAGAGCATCGCGACGCTCTGGGGCGGGGAGAGCATCGCGACGCTCTGAGGCGTCCGGGGAGAGCATCGCGATGCTCTGGGGCGTCCAGGGAGAGCATCGCGACGCTCTGGGGCGGCTGGGGAGAGCATCGCGACGCTCTGGGGCGTCCGGGAAGAGCATCGCGACGCTCTAGGGCGTCCGGGGAGAGCATCGTGATGCTCAGGGGCGTCCGAGGAGAGCATCGCGACGCTCTAGGGCGTCCGGGGAGAGCATCGCGATGCTCTGGGGCGTCCGGGAAGAGCATCGCGACGCTCTGAGGCGGCTGGGGAGAGCATCGCGACGCTCTGGGGCGTCCGGGGAGAGCATCGCGATGCTCAGGGGCGTCCTAGGAGAGCATCGCGACGCTCTGGGGCGTCCGGGGAGAGCATCGCGACGCTCTGGGGCGTCCGGGGAGAGCATCACGATGCTCCGGGGCGGCTGGGGAGAGCATCGCGATGCTCTGGGGCGTCCGGGGAGAGCATCGCGATGCTCTGGGGCATCCGGGGAGAGCATTGCGACGCTCTGGGGCGTCCAGGGAGAGCATCGCGACGCTCTGGGGCGTCCAGGGAGAGCATAGCGTCAGGGGAGAGCATCGCGATGCTTTGGGGCGTCCGGGGAGAGCATTGCGACGCTCTGGGGCGGCTGGGGAGAGCATCACGACGCTCTGGGGCGTCTGGGGAGAGCATCGCGACGCTCTGGGGCGTCTGGGGAGAGCATCGTGATGCTCTGAGGCGTCCGAGGAGAGCATCGCGACGCTCTGGGGCGTCCGGGGAGAGCATCGCGACGCTCTGGGGCGTCCGGCGAGAGCATCGCGATGCTCCGGGGCGGCTGGGAAGAGCATCGCGATGCTCTGGGGCGTCCGGGGAGATCATCGCGACACTCTGGGGCGTCCGGGGAGAGCATCGCGACGCTTTGGGGCGTCCGGGGAGAGCATCGCGACGCTCTGGGGCGTCCGTGGAGAGCATCGCGACGCTCTGGGGCGTCCAGGGAGAGCATCGCGATGCTCCGGGGCGGCTGGGGAGAGCATCGCGATGCTCTGGGGCGTCCGTGGAGAGCATTGCGACGCTCTGGGGCGTCCGGGGAGAGCATCGCGATGCTCTGGGGCGTCCGGGGAGAGCATCGCGACGCTCTGGGGCGTCCGGGGAGAGCATCGCGACGCGTTGGGGCGTCCGGGGAGGGCATCGCGACGCTCTGGGGCGGCTGGGGAGAGCATTGCGACGCTCTGGGGCGTCCGGGGAGAGCATCGCGACGCTCTGGGGCGTCCGGGGAGGGCATCGCGATGCTCTGGGGCGTCCAGGGAGAGCATCACGACGCTCTGGGGCGTTCGGGGAGAGCATCGTGATGCTCCGGGGCGGCTGGGGAGAGCATTGCGATGCTCTGGGGCGTCCGGGGAGAGCATCGCGACGCTCTGGGGCGTCCGGGGAGAGCATCGCGACGCTCTCGGGCGTCCGGGGAGAGCATTGCGACGCTCTGGGGCGTCCGGGGAGAGCATCGCGATGCTCTGGGGCGTCCGGGGAGAGCATCGCGACGCTCTGGGGCGTCCGGGGAGAGCATCGCGACGCGTTGGGGCGTCCGGGGAGGGCATCGCGACGCTTTGGGGCGGCTGGGGAGAGCATTGCGACGCTCTGGGGCGTCCGGGGAGAGCATCGCGACGCTCTGGGGCGTCCGGGGAGGGCATCGCGATGCTCTGGGGCGTCCAGGGAGAGCATCACGACGCTCTGGGGCGTTCGGGGAGAGCATCGTGATGCTCCGGGGCGGCTGGGGAGAGCATTGCGATGCTCTGGGGCGTCCGGGGAGAGCATCGCGACGCTCTGGGGCGTCCGGGGAGAGCATCGCGACGCTCTGGGGCGTCCGGGGAGAGCATCGCGATGCTCTGGGGCGTCCGGGGAGAGCATCGCGATGCTCCAGGGCGGCTGGGGAGAGCATCGCGATGCTCTGGGGCGTCCGGGGAGAGCATAGCGACGCTCTGGGCCGTCCGGGGAGAGCATCGCGACGCTCTGGGGCATCCGGGAAGAGCATCGCGACGCTCTGGGGCGTCCGGGGAGAGCATCGCGACGCACTGGGGCGTTCGGATAGAGCATCGCAACGCTCTGGGGCGTCCGGGGACAGCATCGCGACGCTCTGGGGCGTCCGGGGAGAGCATCGCGACGCTCTGGGGCGTCCGGGGAGAGCATCGCGACGCTCTTAGGCGGCTGGGGAGAGCATCGCGACGCTCTAGGGCGTCCGGGGAGAGCATCGCAACGCTCTAGGGCGTCCGGGGAGAGCATTGCGATGCTCCGGGGCGGCTGGGGAGAGCATCGTGATGCTCTGGGGCGTCCGGAGAGAGCATCGCGACGCTCTGGGGCGTCCGGGGAGAGCATCGCGACGCTCTAGGGCGTCCGGGGAGAGCATCGCGACGCTCTGGGGCGTCCGGGGAGAGCATCGCAACGCTCTGGGGCGTCCGGAGAGAGCATCGCGATGCTCTAGGGCGTCCGGGGAGAGCATCGCGATGCACTGGGGCGTCCGGGGAGAGCATCGCGACGCTCTGGGGCGTCCGGGGAGAGCATCGCGATGCTCCGGGGCGGCAGGAGAGAGCATCGCGATGCTCTGGGGCGTCCGGGGAGAGCATCGCGACGCTCTGGGGCGTCCGGAGAGAGCATCGTGACGCTCCGGGGCGGCTGGGGAGAGCATCGTGACGCTCTGGGGCGTCCAGGGAGAGCATCGCAACGCTCTGGGGCGTCCGGGGAGAGCATCGCGATGCTCTGGGGCGTCCGGGGAGAGCATCGCGACGCTCTGGGGCGTCCGGGGAGAGCATCGCGATGCTCCGGGGCGGCTGGGGAGAGCATCGTGATGCTCTGGGGCGTCCCGGGAGAGCATTGCGATGCTCTGGGGCGTCCGGGGAGAGCATCGCGATGCTCTGGGGCGTCCGGGGAGAGCATCGCGACTCTCTGTGGCGACTGGAAAGAGCATCGCGACGCTCTGGGGCGTTCGGGGAGAGCATCGCGACGCTCTGGGGCGTCTAAGGAGAGCATCGCGACGCTCTGGGGCGTCCGGGGAGAGCATCGCGACGCTTTGGGGCGTCCGGGGTGTCAGAGACTAATGACGGAGTCTTGAAGCTTAGGGGCCGAAATTACTCAAAATCGTTGACTCAGAATCCTTGACACAAAAGTTCTGTTCACAAGAAACGCCGTCGACGAAAAGTCCACAGTTAGAATATCACGAAAACCGAGTATTTTGTAGCACTAAATAGTGGCTACACTTCCCAAGTTGAATCACATGAAAAGGTGGAGTATTTCGCGAGATATTTAATTCGGCGCACTAGGGGGTATGCTGCCACAGAAACTTAACTCAATCACAATAGTTTCACAAGTTCTCACAAGTTCCACACTAGCACTAAACCAGGTGGGAGGGAAGAGGAGGACGAGAGGGAAGGTCCCAAGGAGTCCCCAACCCAAGGAAACCTCATGCCACACAATTCCCTTCCCCATAGGCAACCCAACTTTGACCTTTGTCACTATCCCAACCTCCACAGTCCACCTCTCTCCAACTTGGCCACACTTACCAACCTGGTTTGGCTTTTCCCAACCACATGGCAGCGTCTACAGTAGGAGTTACGAATTTCCCAACCCCAAAAGGTCTGTACCCCATATGAAGTCAACTCCAAAACTTCCCATTGTCGCCACAACCAAATATCAAAAGCATACGAACTTCAATGTTCGTAACATTCTTGATCGGTCTCCGATTGCGACGATTCTTGGTTCGTCGGAAAGCTCTTGAGTAGAGCAGTCATCTCAGGTATTTGCTCAAGCAAGATATTATTCACACACACTCAGAAAATCCAAACCACACAAACATATAATGGGAGGCAGACAGACGTGAATGCGAATGATAGCATCACACAACAAACTCCCCCTCTCGCTGCCAACCATCATCCCACATGCCTCATCTCATGCATGCACCCTCAATGCACACTCATTCCAGCAAGTTTCATGCCCTTCCAATGCTCAGGTTCTGCCAGGAGCTTGTTGAGAATGTCAGCCGCCTGCTGCTGGGTCTTTACAAGCCCCAATCGCACCTCCTTGTCCAGGAGCCTCCTTTTCCAATGCCACTTGGGCCTGGTGTGCTTGGTCAGCCCATGAAGACAAGCATTCTTGGCCAGCTTCACTGTTGACTCGTTGTCACAGAAAATCAGAGTTGGCTTCTTCTGAGCAACTCCAATCTCTTCCAACAAATGCCTCAACCACACCACCTCCTTTGCCCCATGATGCAGGGCCATGTACTCGGTCTCACACGAGGACAGCCCCACCTCATTCTGCTTCTTGCTGCGCCAGCTCACTGCACCACCTCCAAAGAGGCACACATAGCCTCCAATGCTGGTGCCATCTGCCTTCATAGAGTTGAAGCTAGCGTCGGTGTATCAAGTCAAGAGCATCTCCCCCTTGCTCAAGTCAGCTGCACCCCTCTGCAGCCTCTGTCGCACAGCACTGTACTCCAAGCCCACTGATGCCGTTGCACTCACATAGTGGACCAACCTCTTGGCCGCTTCCAGCTGCTCATGACTGGGACGTGAAACCACACTCGCAAGCCTGGATGTTGCAAAGGCAATGTCAGGCCGCGTGTGATTAGCCGCATAGTTGAGCGCCCCAACCATGGAATGAAACAGCTTCCTGTCACTCTCTCCCACCACCTCCTCATCAGCACAGGGCTCCACACTGAACCCCGAAGGCAGTGGGGTGGCTCGCTTCCTTCCATCTTGCAGCCCATACTTCTCGGCCAGCCCCTCACAGTACTTCCTCTGGTGTAACCTCAACACTCCCTTGTCAAGGTCTCTCTCCACATGCATCCCAAGGTAGTACTTCACATCTCCCATCTTCGAGCACTTGAACTGCATTTCCAACATCTCCTCCACACGTTCAATCATTGCAGATGACTTGGAGAAAAGCAAAATGTCGTCCACATACACCGGGAGCATGAGGAACTCGTCCTTCTCTTGTAGCAGGAATAGGCTGTGATCACACTCGCTCTTCTTGAATCCCCCAGCCAGCAGTGTCTCCTCCAGTTTGTGGTACCATGCGCGAGGAGCCTGCTTCAGGCCATAGATGACCTTCTTCAGCCTGCACACCCTGCCGCTCCCATCATCCAACCCCTCAGGCTGCAGCATGTACATCTCCTCCAGAATAATCCCATTGAGGAAGGCAGTGATGATGTCCATCTGCTTGATCTTCCATCCACGGTTTGCAGCCATTGCCAGCATCGTCCTCAATGTAGTCCCTTTCCCCACAGGAGCAAAGATATCGTCAAAATCCTTCCCCTTTGTCTGCTGGAACTCCTTAGCCACAAGTCTTGACTTGTAGCGGTTCAGCTCCCCATCAGGTCCGTACTTGTGCCTGAAAATCAGCTTGGAAGAAATGGCCTTCTTCCCTGGAGGCAGCTCACACAGCTTCCACGTTTCATTCTCTAGCAGAGAGTCATACTCCTCCTTCACACTCTGCTTCCACTTCTCAGCATCGGGCCCACTCAAGGCCTTGGTAAGTGTTTTGGGCTCAGGGACGGCTGCCCAGTAGCAGTGTGCTATCTCCTCCTCATCACATTGCTCGGCCACACTCCCAGCCCGTACCATGCTTGGCTTCCCAAAGCTCGGGTAGGTTAGCCAGTTAGGAGGGCGCACATCCCTCCTAGGACGGTCAGCCGCACGTTGCTGCTGCTGCTGCTGCTGATGCTGCGGCTGCTGCTGCTGCTGCTGTTCCCCCACCTCAGGTTCTCCCCCATCCTCAGTCACCCCAGAGATCTCCCCCTCTGAGACTGTGACCTGCACTTGCCTCGAAGGCCGCTGCAACTCATCGGCCTCAATGATCAGCGGTGTAGTAGGAAGCTTTTGCTGCTGCTTTTTCCACTCCTTGTAGTACAAGGACTCAAGGAACTTCACATCCCTCGACACAGTCACCTGCTGGCTGGTCAAATCCCAAATCAACCAGCCCTTGTGATCCTTGGCAAGCCCCAAATGCACACCCCATCTCCCAGAAGCTTCCAGCTTTCCCCTCTTCTCCTTAGGCACATGAAACACCACCATGCAGCCGAACGCTCTCAGCATGTTGACTGCTGGTGCACTCCCGTACCACTTGGTGTAAGGGACCCACTGCTTGTCCCCCATTGTCGCCAGCACCCTGTTCTTCACAAGAGCGACCTGCCTCAGTGCAATCACCCAAAACGGATCCGGCAGCCCTGCACGCCCAAGGAGAGTGCGAGCACCTTCCTCCAGGGTCCGGTTGAATCGCTCAGCCACGCCATTCTGTTGCGGGTTGTAGGGCACTATGAGCCGATGCTGGATCCTCTTCCGCTTCAGCTCCTTCTAAAAATCAGCGCCAATGAATTCCCCTCTATTGTCAGTGCGGATCACCTTCACCTTGTGTCCGCCGCTCTCCCTTTGAGCTCCCGGCATCCACTCCTTGAGAACAGCCGCTGCCACCTCCCCCTTAGTTTTCAGAGGGTAGACCCACACCGCACGCGTGTGGTAGTCCACGATGGTCAAGAAGTAGCGGCTGCCCGAGAGAGAAAGGGCCCTCGTGGGGCCCACCACATCCATGTGCACAAGTGCAAGTGGAGCCTTGGCTGGTCCCGTGCTGCTGCTGAAGGGAAACTTCGTGAATTTGGTCTCAAGGCATGTAGGGCAGCTCCCAATCTCCTTTGCTGGCCCCTTTACCTCCAGCCCCTTCAAGCTCCCATCCTTCATCGGAATGTTGATGTGGCACAGCCTCTTGTGCCACGTCTCCCAATCGGCCGCACCACTCCCGGATAAAGCCTTTGCCCATGCAGCCGTTGCATCCACACCAGCAAGCACCTCACCATGTGGCTACTGTTGCTGCTGCACCTTCTTGATTGCATCCAGGGCCCCAACAGTTGGAGCAGTCTCCTCTCCTCCCGCAGTTGCCTTAGCCGCTGCCGCTGCCTTTGCCGTTGCTGGTGGTTTCCCATTCCAACGG